TTTCAGCAAAAGTTAACGTTAAGTTAAAAGTTAGTCGAAAATGTTAACCGTTAAGTTTAACTTAATCGTTACTTTTAACGAATGCTGAACCTTGCCCTCGCGAGGCGGGCGGCAGGCGGAAAGGGAGAGGGGGGAAGGTCATGGTCATGTAACCCAGGCCTCCGAAAGACCTATAGGTATTCACAGCAGCTCGTAGCCGCAGGAAGCACTGCAGCAGTGCGCAGCAGCGCCACGCCACCGCTGCGTGGCCTGATCGGGGGGAACTGTCATATTAATATTTTACATCTTTCCTGTGAGCGCTTACCGTTCCAGTTGAAGTAATACGACAGACGATTGGGTAACATAGTCCGGGACAACCCCATGATGATGTAGCCTTCATGTTGTTCGATGGCGTCACTGTGCATGATTTTCTGCTCATATTCGTTGATTCCGCTGCACGCAAACACCCCCGTGTTGGATCCTCTGAGGGTGCTCGGGTGAAGACCTGCGCAGTGGAGTTCCCCGTGAGAGTTACTTTGACCTAAAAATACGGGTTCGCTGTGGCAACTAACTCTTCTTGTCCCCGACTCTGAACTATAGTTCTTAGGTGACACAGCGAATCTTTTGACTATCCCAAAATTAGCCAGTGTATTTTAGTTCCGACAACTAATATTTTTTTCCCGTGTGCATCCTACCTGCGTCCAGGACGGCCTCATAGCTGCGCATGTAACAGAGTATGGACGTTGGGTCCGTGCTATTGGCGAGCTTGCTGTTGATCCCGAAGAACTGCCCGTCGAAGTGCTCGGAAGGTACTGTTCCGCTCACGGGGGTGAAGAGGTCTGCGGCGAAGTAGGGATATGATGATTACTTACAGTGTGGCCCACCGACATTTCGTTGTTAACCTGCGTGTCCTGCGGGGGTTTCCCCGACCGGTCCCTCGATAAAAGAAATCAGTGTACACCCCCCAAAAAATGAGGAAAAATTCAGAAAGAATTTAAAAAACATAAAACAGACAGGAAATATCAGAAAAAAAAAAATCCAAATAAAAATCAGAAAAAAAATCAGGAAAAAAGAAAATATAGAAATCAGTAAAACAAAGTCAGAAAAATCAAAAATGAAGAGTAAACTAAAAATTGGTGTAAGCTAGTAATACTATTATTAAAGGACCCATCGGTTGTGTTCTACCCGACCCGAGAGAAAGCTTGCGCCGAATTTCGCCATGTCACAGTGAGTAGTCAGCGTAAGCTACGGTAAAAGTAGTAAGCTCGGTGAACCAAGGGCGTATCTCCGTCATTTACAGTGACTTTCACCGTAAGCTACGATGCCTTAGGGTTCACAGTGTGGCTTTGGTGAGTTCCACCCTACGCGTTTATTGGTGAATGCTCCGAGCCGAGACATTGGCCAGACACGGCGAAGTGGAACTCTCACGTGCCGGTGTCACGTGGCCGAGCCGACCACGGCTTTCCCACCTTCTCTCCAGCGTTTCGTCCTCTGCACGAGGTGCTTGTTGTTGAGGAGGTCGCGCCCGAAGTCCTGGACATTGCCGCTCCCCGAGAAGGCGCTTCCGATGCCCGAGATGACCACCTCGCTGCTCATGGTCGTGTGTAGGAGTGAAGAGGGCAGCCAATGCCACTAGACGGCACTAACGGATCTTGCCGTGCCAGAGTGTCGGGGTCGGGCCCTGGCGGACGGAAGATCCCGCCCCCCTCCCCCACCACTGTATTGTTATTCTGATCGAGCCGAACACTAATGCGATGAAATGCTAATTGCTTTGGCAGCCTAGTAGATTGCGTGTGATTCCCAATGCAGAGATAATTTGTGCGCTAGTGCTATTTTACTTTCACTACCGTGCAAGTCTTTTAGGCTTCTAGTGCAGTCAAATTGTGCAAAAACACCCCCTTACCTAGACAAAATTCCGAACAGTACCAAACTTTGGGGATCGTTTTAGGCATGTCTAAGGAGTGCCTAGCCAAAATTCCCACAAAATCCCACCGGATCCCACCGGATCGGCTCAAATCGTGTTCAAAGTTCAAAATTTCAGGGCTATGGGCTATGCTTAACAGAAACTGAACGCGAATGACCAATATGTCACTGTTTTCCCAACTTTTTCGGGTACCCAAAATTGGTTAAAAAACCGTTAGGAAAGTGATACGAATGAAGTGCTTTTTCCTTTTGTATGCATCGAAAACGGGCAAGTTAATATGGTTTTGAGATCCGCTTGGTGTTTTCTACGAAGATAACTAAGTGTGACATAGGAATTCCTTCAGTGTTACTCAGTATCACCGTAAAATAGCAATTTTACCAAAATTTCAGAATGCCCAAAGTACTGTTTTTGACGTTTAAAAGTACCCTAAGGCCGTATATATGCTCAGAAAAGTGCTTGCGTATCCCTCAAATGGTAACAGAACACGACACGTTAGACAAAAAGGCCAAAACCCCATTTATTTCCGCAAAAAACAAAGCAAAACGAGACCAAATGCAGAAAGACGGTGGTTGTAGTTTGGGTTGCCTATCGCCCCTTAGGGGGTTTCTGCATAGGAGCTCGGTGACCAGATCCTGTTTCCAGGTGTTTCATCCCCCCTGGCACCTGCAATTTTTGAGATACAGACATTTCATGAAAATCAAAGTTGTAGAGAATTAAAAGGCCTACAACGTTTGTGAAAGGCAATATCCCCATTTTTGGGCTGGCTTACGCACAATATGCCGAAAAAGAATTCTTGAACATTGAAATTATAGAAAAATGTTAGTTTTTGTCTTTTAGAGGCTAAAGTTTCGCTCCAAACACCATATACCCTTTAATATTTCTTAAAGAAGAGATCATTCTGCATTGAATGGCGCAAACTGCATTGCTGTATCTCAAACACAAGTTGAGATATACCAATTTGTTCAAAAGTCGAAATTTTGAACTTTGAACACGATTTGAGCCGATCGGCACTGTGGGATTTTGTGGGACTTTTGGCTAGGCACTCCTTAGACATGCCTAAACCGATCCCCAAAGTTTGGTACTGTTCGGAATTTTGTCTAGGTCAAAACACAATTTGACTGTACTATTCGTTCAGCCCATCTCGATATGACGGGCAGCACGACGGGTGTTGTTACAGCTTCGCTAACTGTTGCACCTTCGTGTACTGATTTGCCGCTTCTTGGTCGGTTTTCAGCTAATTGGTCTACACGAAAAAACAATAGAGCAGGGGCGACGGGGAAATCACTTGAGTTCGTAGCGTACGCGGCTATTTCGTGCTATTTCTCCTGCCATTTCGGTTATTTCTCGCCTATTTCGGATTATTTCAGGATATTTCGCGGTATTTCGGAGTATTACAGGGGTAGCTCGCTACTATTGCACCGACTATTTCGCGCCTATTTCGGGTCTATTTCGCTTTTACTTCGCCTCTATTTCGGACTATTGCGGGGGATGGTGTGCGAACTATTTTGCAAGTGAGCAGGGGAGCTTCGATGACCTGTCGATGAGACACGGCTTTACGGCTAAGGCCCAATTTATTTTGTTGTTTTTTTGTTTTTTAACTCCTGCGTCTCTAGCAAGCCTGCGATTCCGCAACACAAGTGTTCGCTCTGTATGTACAGTAGCAAAGACCATCTTTAATTCCAACAGTGTGTAATTAGGCTTCTGGAACACTGACGGCTGGGGACGGGCGGCGGTTGACATGTGCTAACAAATTCTAATTACTAATTACATGGGACGGTCTGGTGGATTTCGTGTGATTGCCCTAGAAGTAAATTGTGTGCGTTTAAGCCGCACAATGCCAACAACGTTTTCAAAACCGCTCTGCGGCCTCATTTCATATGTATTGAATTCGATACACGCCGTTGCCGCCCTCATGGCTGGTATATTTCTTTCAGCGCCCAGCCCATGGATCTCCAAGTGAGAAATGTCACATCAAAATGACGCCGAACCGACACCGACATAGTGTTTTCGTCGATTTGCGGCCCTAAGAGAGATCGATTCGACGTCTAGCTCAAAATCGACGTAACCAATCGGATTCGATACTGCATTTCTGACTCATCTGAGACAAAGCCACTTCAAATGGAGTGCTTAACTATTATCAAAAAAAATCAGGGAGAGAATGCAAGAAAATCGAAAATTTTCTAGAGAGTGATCCAAACTATCCAAAACGGAAGAAGAAAAAGACCAAACTCATTGATTTTTCTTCTCCCGCAAGGGTATTGGTCGAGCTGATCCCGTGCCTCTGGTGTTGTAAATATTCTCATACCATTTTATTGTCAAGTTGGCTCCCCTGTGTCACGAGCATATATATATATCACCATCACCACTGTACTGCCAGTCTTCGTTGGAATTAATAAACCTCTGAGATATTATTCAGAACTGTTGACCATCAATCTCCTGCCATCGTTAGAAACTTACAACATCTGGGAGTGGCAGTGGGAGACAGCGAATTATCGCTGTTTTAAGGGCTAGGTGGACTAAATACATTTTTGAAAAGAGGGAAGAAGTACAAACAAATGTCAACCAGAATAAAAGCCACCATGTAGACAAAGAAGATTGCTCAATAATTGCCTCACGTTCGGGTGTATTTAGATTGTCCGACCAATTTTTCTCCGACCTGACGATTTTTCCAAAATCCCGTCGTGATGACAGCAAAGAACAAGTGATGTGGCTGTGGCTCAACCAAGTTACTTTTTCAGGCAAAAGGTTTGTTTGAAATAATGCTGTATAAACTGTTCTGTCTATGTCGGTTCAGGCAAAAGCATTTGACACTTGACATTAATC